TGACAAAGTTGGTCCTCTGCATTCTTCTACCAGAGGTTCAGTGACCGGTTCCTCTGTTTCAACATCCCCTTCCTCCCTCGTGGTATCATTTGAGGAAGAGCTTAGTACGGCAGTTACTTGCTCAGGGTCTAGAAACAGACAAGCCCATTTTTAAAAAACAGAAACTTAGTTTTACTACCTACTAGGTGAACAATTAACTTGACCTCTAGCCTCACTATCTTTACTGGTAAAGGAATAATAGTACCTACCCTGGAGAGTTGCTGTGAGGCTTAAATCAAACACAGCACAGAAAGCATGTAGCCCAGTACCTGGTAGATGGTAAGCACTGAGTAAAGCGTATATATCACATATAGTTTTTTAACTGCAACCCTGTTTAAACTTTGTATTTCTCCAAATATTAGCCTACCCACCACCACCAAAAAAAAAAAAAAAAAAAAGTGGTTTCCAACCTGGGTTTTGCTGATCCCTCAGAGGTTCTGTAACTGTTTGATATCAGTTTCACTTTGCTAAAGATACACCTTGGGAAGGAGGAAGATACTGAGAAGGTGGGAGTCAGGATCCCCATTCATTTCCAACAAGAGCAGTTTCACTTTGATTTCTTTTATAAATTGGAGTTATTTGAAGATTTAAAAAAAATCCCCCCGCTAAAGTCAAAGTTTGAAACCATGATCCTACACGACATTGCTTCTGCTCATCTGTTTTAGTAGAGTTGTAAAGAGATCTAGGTCTACTCCTTGCCAGTAACTGGCTGGGGTACCTTGGACAAATCCCTCATCTTCTCTGCTGTAAGCTCCCTATTCCACAAAATGTGTAGTTTGGAAAGAAAACGTGTAAGGTTCATGTTTTCCTATTAGTTTTATTTCTAGAGATCAACAAAACTCCTACAGAAAAGTTGTTTTGAATAGCTTGTTGAATTAAAATTTTCTCACCATTTAACTCCAATAACCTGGTATACAAGTAAACATATGTTGACTGTTAAACAAATGAGTGAATGATTTAGTTGTTCATTAAAATGGTGATGGACCCTCATGGGTCCCTGCTTTGCTTAAAGGAGCTATGATGGGGTATGACAGGTCTTTTCTACCTGCTGAGGGCCCGGGGAAGATGACAAGAGCATGAATCAGACGAGTTAGCTCCAAGTGACTAGGAGAAGGAGCTCCGGGTATGCTGCTCTTCTTATCTCCTAATAGATTGTGAACCCAATTAATCAATCAGTCCTGCCATTCACATCTCCCAGGCTTATGTCAAATCCATCTCTATTCTCCTTTGCTAACACAGTAGACCAAGCCACCATCCTCTACTCTCACCCTACAACAGCCTCCTTAGGGTCTCCCCACTTCCACTCTTGTTACCTCCAATGTCTTCTAATTAGGTGCTCATTCTCTATCACTGGAACTTGCATGTTTCTTTCGGGGCACTAGCACACATTTGGTTTATTTTCTGTTTCTCTCACTAGACCGTGAACCCCATGAGGACAGAGACCTTTCTTACTCATCCCATCTTATTCAGCCCATCTCCACTCCTCACCTAGTGCTTAGCACATACCAGCCTTTCCATAAATAATCAATGAATGAATGCGTGGGAATTCTCAAAGGCTCAGAGACCCCGTCTTAATTCACCTTTGTGCTATCGGCACGCAGGGCAATGCCCGGTGCAAAGCAGGCATTCCCTACATACTTGTTCCACGTGTGGGTCAACTGATGAAGGGATGACTCCTTTCCAGGTTTTAGACGACAAAACCGTATTTGAATCTTCACTCTGCCAGCTGTGTGACTTTGAGCCTGGCCTTCATTAACTGCCGAATGAGCTAACAGTTATTTCGCGGGGTTGCTCCAGGATAAGCTCAGGCTGGTGAAGGGCTCTGCACAATGTCTGACACGGTGTGTACTCAACGCATCCCCACTACCAGTGGGGTAAGGTGCAGGGAAGAAATCTAGAAGAATCTAGAAGAGAAGAGGGAGGGGCGGGGCGAGAAGCTCCTTGCCGATACTGCGTTCTACGGCCGCGCGCTGGCTGGCCCTCCCGGCTCGCCGTCCGCCCCTCCCCCTCCCGCCGCCGTCACCCGGGAAACGGGACGCTATCGCCCGCCCGCCGACCTAAGCGAGTTTCATGGCAGCCACGAAGAAAGCAGTTTTGGGGCAGTTGGTGGGAGCAGTGGACCAGGGCACAAGCTCGACGCGCTTTTTGGTTTTCAATCCCAAAACAGCCGAACTACTTAGTCATCATCAAGTGGAAATAAAACAAGAGTTTCCAAAAGAAGGATGGGTAGAACAAGACCCTAAGGAAATCCTGCAGTCCGTCTGTGAGTGTATAGAGAAAACGTGTGAGAAACTTGGACAGCTCAATATTTCCAACATAAAAGCTATTGGTATCAGTAACCAGAGGGAGACCACTGTGGTCTGGGACAAGTTAACTGGAGACCCTCTTTACAATGCTGTGGTGTGGCTTGATCTAAGAACCCAATCTACCGTTGAGAGTCTTCGTAAAAGCATTCCAGTAAATAATAACTTTGTCAAGACCAAGACAGGCCTTCCACTTAGCACTTACTTCAGTGCAGTGAAACTTCGTTGGCTCCTTGCCAACGTGAGAAAAGTTCAAAAGGCAGTTGAAGAAGATAGAGCCCTTTTTGGGACCATTGATTCATGGCTTATTTGGAGCTTGACAGGAGGAGCCAGTGGAGGCGTCCATTGTACGGATGTAACAAATGCAAGCAGGACGATGCTTTTCAACATTCATTCTTTGGAATGGGATAAAGAGCTCTGTGAATTTTTTCAAGTTCCAATGAAAATTCTTCCAAATGTCCGGAGTTCTTCTGAGATCTATGGCCTAATGAAAGCTGGGGCCTTGGAAGGTGTGCCAATATCTGGGTGTTTGGGGGACCAATCTGCTGCATTGGTGGGACAACTGTGCTTCCAGGATGGACAAGCCAAAAACACGTATGGAACAGGCTGTTTCTTACTATGTAATACAGGCCATAAGTGTATATTTTCTGAACATGGCCTTCTGACCACAGTGGCTTACAAACTCGGAAGAGACAAACCAGTACATTATGCATTAGAAGGTTCGGTAGCTATAGCCGGTGCTGCTGTTCGCTGGCTCAGAGACAATCTTGGAATTATAAAGACCTCAGAGGAAATTGAAAAACTTGCTAAAGAAGTAGGTTCCTCTTATGGCTGCTATTTTGTCCCAGCCTTTTCAGGGCTATATGCACCTTATTGGGAGCCCAGTGCCAGAGGGATCATCTGTGGGCTCACCCAATTCACCAATAAATGCCATATTGCTTTTGCTTCATTAGAAGCTGTTTGTTTCCAAACCCGAGAGATTTTGGATGCCATGAACCAAGACTGTGGAATTGCACTCAGCCATTTGCAGGTAGACGGAGGAATGACCAACAACAAAATTCTTATGCAGCTACAAGCAGACATTCTGTATATCCCAGTAGTGAAGCCCTTGATACCTGAAACAACTGCCCTGGGAGCTGCCATGGCAGCCGGGGCTGCAGAAGGGGTTGGCGTTTGGAGTCTCGAGCCTGAGGATTTGTCAGCTGTCACGATGGAGCGGTTTGAACCTCAGATCAACGCCAAGGAAAGTGAAATTCGTTATTCTACATGGAAGAAAGCTGTGATGAAGTCCATGGGTTGGGTTAGCACTCAGTCTTCGGAAAATGGTGACCCTAGCATCTTCAGTAGTTTACCCTTGGGCTTTTTTATAGTGAGTAGCATGGTAATGTTAATCGGAGCAAGGTACCTCTCAGGTGTGCCATAAATAATACCAAGTCATGGATTCCAAAGATGTGAGCTCTTTACCTAACAAGAAAATTCAGTGATTCTGTCTTTTAATGTGCTGACACTATTCATAGACTCTGATTTTATTTATAAGCCACTTGCTGCATGACCCTCCAAGTAGACCTGTGGCTTGAAATAAAGAAAATGCGGCACACACAAAAAAGTGATTTCTCAATTAGGAACCAAAAAAAAACAACCGCAAGTTTTGCATACAAAAAGTCACAAACAACTCCCCTGAACTACCCAGTGGTTGTTATTTTTATCTAACTTTCTATTAAAACGTTGAAGGAGAAAGGGGCATGGTGGGGGGATGGGTAGTCAACTCCCATCTAGCAATGACTTGACAGCTACCTGCCACTTGGTGTTGGTCAACTATACAGGAAGATTTACAAAGAAAATGTAGTGGGCACTCACAGCATGAGGCACAATTTAGAATCCATCCATTTATTTAACACATAATTGAAACCCTTCACTGGCAAATCTTAGGGTAAAAACTTGAACCCTAAACACAGCCTGCAAGGATCTGGTCCTTGGCTACCATTTTTGACTCATTTCACTCCATTCTCCTCCTTGTTCCCTGAGCTCCCACTATTTTGGTCTTCTTTGACTTTCAGCCACAGGACCTTTGCACATGTGCTTCCCTTTGCTTGAATTAGATTCACCGTTATAATTAAAGTCAAGGTCACTTCTTCCGAGACTGACCTTCCAGTCTAAGTCCTAGAACCTTCTCATTCACTCATAGTAGCATTTCACTTTGCAATTACCCAACTGTGTGGTTGTTTTCCTTATGTTCCCCCCCCCCATAATTTGTACCCTCTGGGAATCGATGAATGACTTGGTTACTGAGTGTATCCCCAGCGCCCAGAATGGTTCCCGGCACGTGGGAGGTATTCAATAAATGTCCTTTGAATGAATAAGCGAAAGTTTTCCAGGATTCGTATAGGAATCTGAGACACAAAGATGAGGAGGCCCCAGAGTTTGGGGGTGGTGTGGGGAACACAGACCAACAAACAGATGGGTACCAAGCTCCAGAGAACCTAACACCTGCGCCTTCCTCCAGCTGGTGGGAGATCCTAACCCTTTCCCAGCTGCAGACACCCTCGGAGGAAGAGGTGGGTTTAAAGGCGGATGCTGAAGCCTAGCGCACAGTAATCCACCAGTTAAATCAACCAGCCCGGTGGAGATCCCAGGTCTTGGGCGAAGTTGCAGGAGCCCGCGTCGCCGAGCTCTGGCAGGCTGCCAGGTGACCCCTCTCGTCCACCCTTGTGCCCAATGCGGCGCGCCAGCCAATGCGCCCCGGGCGCCAAAGCTGCTCCCGAGCCCGGGCGCGTGATTGGCAGCCGGCAGCCTCCAGCCTCAGCCCCGGCGCGCCCTCCCACCCAAGACTAAGTCCAGTCCGCGCCCACTCCGGGGCGGTCGCCGCCTCCTCTGCGCCGGGGTGCCGGGCGCTGGGCCGGCAGGCAGCGCACACCCGGCAGGCGCCGCGGAGCAGCGAGGTCCCAGGCGGCAGCGCTCGGCGCAGTCCTCGCTCCGGCCGGGCCATGAAGGTCGAGTTTGCGCCGCTCAACATCCCGCTGGCGCGGCGGCTGCAGACGGCGGCGGTGCTGCAGTGGGTCCTGTCCTTCCTTCTGCTCGGTAAGGACTCCCGGCCGCGCAAGATCCGGGCGAAACACCGCGGTGCCTGGGGCTCCGTCTCCCCCACTCCCGGACATCACTACTTCCCTTATAAGCCAGAGCAGGCAGGTCACAGAGGGCATTTGTAGCTAATTTAGGACTCCCCTCTTTGATTCATCTTTCCACGTGAACCTTGTAGCAAGCCACTGATTGGCAACTTTATTTTCCCCTGTGCTGTTTTTAAAACTCGAGGTGTACTTTACCCACAGTAAAAGGCACAGATTTTAACTCGGTGAGTTTTGACAAATGTATACAGCCAAGTGTAACCACGACCCAATCGAGCTATCGGACATTGCACTTAAGCCCCTCAAAAGTAGATAAACTCGTTTCTTGAATTATCGATTCATAAATGGAAAAACAATGCCCAAGGATTTGAAACCTGATTTCTTCCTTATTCCCCCCCCCCCCCCCCCCCGCATAACAGATATCTGCGTTAGCTTTCCCGTGTTTAAGATTTTCCGGATGCAGAAAGCTACCTTGCTGCAAAGAAGACTGCACCACACGTTAGGTTGGGTTGGATGGCCTCTCTCTGTAAATAATTCGACCCAGGAGAGTGTGTTCTAGCCAGTTCCCAAATTAAGCCCAGGTAGAAATGCGCTGGAGCCAGTCACTAGATGGGGCGGGGGGCTTATCTGGGAGCTTTTTCTCTGGATGTTTGTTCTGCTCTTGAGGGGGGTGGGAGCATGGGGAGGGTCAGGGAAAAGGAGGGGGTGTAAGAGGACAGGAATTACTGGGAACTTAAACTCTTCAGAAGGCTCAAGTCATTTGTGTGCTGTAAGATCATGGGTTGTACACTGTCCAGGCCACAGTAATAATAAATTCATTACACTGTAGAGGTTTACAATTTTGAAACCATTTTGCGTTTTGAATGCCTGGATCAGTGGTTCTCAACCCTGGCTTCACATTAAGATCACTGGAGGAATTTCTAAAAAATAAGATGCCCAGGCTCTATCCCTAGAATTTTGAATTCATTTGTTTCAGAAAGGAACCTGCACATCAGGATTTTTTTTTTTTAAATAAACTCTCCAAGTACAGCTAGAGTTTACTAAAAAAGGAAATTCAAATAATTAACTCATTAAGTCCTCCTAGGCCAAACTGTTGAGACAGCATTACACTTTGTTTTGCTCTAGGCCAAAGTACCATTGAGGTAACAGCTACACTTAGCGCGGGCCTTGTGTGTTCTGCCAGCTACAGCTTGGCACTTGCCATCTACCTCTACAGTTCTAAGCACCATACACTATTAACCATGTAATCTTCACAACAGCCCTGTGAGGTAAGGACTGTGTCTTCCTGTGCTCTTTGTACGGCTGAGGGAACTAAGAGGTGAAGTGAACTGTTCAAGGTCACACAGTTAGTAGGAGGTGGAGGGGCTGGGTGCAAACCCAAATATTCTACCCAGAGTTCCTGCTTTAACCACTGTGCTGTCCAATTTAATGCCTTGAAACTGGAGACTGACTTTCTTGCTCATCAGCCAGCACATCTCTGATAGCCCACTGTCTTTTCCTTCCATGGCCCTTATCATTGCTTGTATTTGTGTATGTCTGTGGTTACTTGAGAAAGGTCTCTATGGCCATCTGTAGGAGAGCAGAATTTGCCAGCCCCAAGTATGTTTCTTTGGTATATTAATTATTTTAAGCTGGTTATTTTCTAAGAAGCAGCAGACATGGGAAAAACTCTGAAAACCTAGTGGGAGTTACCCTTTTGTAAGAAACATTTACATTTATAAGGGAAATCTCCATTTGTAAGGGTGTCTCCCTTGCTGTACCAGGAAGAGCGTGATGACCAAATCTCTAGAAACCTACCAATGAAGAAGGCAGGGACTTAAATCTGCATAAAACCTTACCCTTCCTTACTGTGCTTTTCCTCATAACCTCCCATAACTGACTTAACCCACCTTCAATATCCTTTTTTGTCTTTAGGTGAGGATGGTTTTTTTTTTTTTTTGCGGTACGCGGGCCTCTCCCATTGCAGAGCACGGGCTCCAGACGCGCAGGCTCAGTGGCCATGGGTCACAGGCCCAGCCGCTCCGCGGCATGTGGGATCTTCCCGGACCGGGGCATGAACCGGCGTCCCACGCATCGGCAGGCGGACTCCCAACCACTGCGCCACTAGGGAAGCCCTGAGGATGGTATTTAAGGGGAGGGTTTTGGCCATTTTGGCAAGTTACTCAGTTTTCCTGGGTCTCCCCCAGGCATACATATTATTAAAATTTTGTTTGATTTTCTCCCATTAATCTGTCTCACGTCAATTTAATTCTTAGATCAGCCAGAGGAACGTAGGAGGGTAGAGGAAAATTTCTTCCTCCCTGATACATCCTAGTTCACAGTCTCAGTGAGGGAGTACCCAGCCCGTGCCTGGCCCATGGGAGGCACACAATAAGTACTGGTTGAATGTCTTCACTCTGTCACCCAAAAGGGAAGTGGTCCACCCCACATGTTGCTATTTGTATCAACTCATGTATGTAAATCCCCACAGTGACCCTAGAGGTAGGGGCTAACCCCTGTACTCATTTTCCAAAGATAGAGCTTGGAGGTGTAGTAACTGCTCAAGGTCACAAGGTGGGTGGTAGAGCCTTATGTGTCACATGTGAATGTACTAATAACTTAGACATGGCCCACCAGTCCTAATTTGAATCAAACTACAGTGGCTTGACAGACAATTCATTTAAATGCTCTTATTGCATACATTTGACATTCGTGTTACTAGGAGCATATTATTTTGTATTATCATATATTTTGGAAATTTTATTATGAAAAATTCCAAACATACAGAAAAGTAGAGAAGGGTATAAACTCCCATATACCCATTACTTGGATTTATAATTATTTTAACAATTTGCTATATTAGTTTTACCTATTTTGCAAAAACATTTTAAAGCAAATCACATTGCATTTTAATCCCAAGTACTTTAGTATGCCTATTATAAAATTGTTTTACAAAATTATGGTAACATTGTCCCATGTAGCATAATTAACATTAATTGCTTAAAATCATCTAAACCAAGTCAATATTCATATTTCCTAAAATTGAGCCCCAAATACACTTTTATGTGTGACTTACTTGAATCAGGATCCAAAAAAGCCCCCTGGGTTGCATTTAGTTTTTAATTTAGAACAGTTTTTCCCCCCATTTGTTTTCTTGTCAATGAAGCATTGAAGAAGCCGGGTTATCTGTCCTGCAAGATGTGTCTTCAGAAGTTCTCTGATTGCTATTTTGTAGGGTTAACATGTTCCTCAATTCCCTGTATTTCTTCTAAAATGGAAGTTGGAGCTAAAGGTTTGATTAGATTTAGGTGAAACCTTTTTGCAAGTCCTTTGCCGAGGTGCTGCTGTGTGCTCATGTTGCCTTATGTCAGAATGCACAGTGCCTAGCTGTCCCTTATGAGAGTGGTCAGTGGGTACAGGTAGGAAGTAATGTGAGGGGTGGTAATTGACATGCTGCAAATAAAAGTTCCCTATTGACCGTTGACCTTTCACCTAGTCTCCATTAATGATCCTTGACCAAATTAACTTTTATTTGGGACTACAAAATGGTAATTTTCATATTCGATCATTCATTCTTCACATATTAACTAGAATTTATGCCAGGAATAATTTTTCCTCATCATCTAGGGCCATTGATTACCCTACAATTCAATTCTTACGGTAAAGGCAGTATAAACGCTTACCTATTTCTTTCCATTTTAATTATTTTAAAGTAAGGAGTTCATGTAGTATCTCCTTCCAATGGTGATAAGAGAAGTTTTATTAACTATGTATTTTAAAGTCTCTAAATCAAAATCTTGGAATGCATTTTTCTTTCCACCATCAGGAAATGAGTTTAAGCTATTAGCACTTGGGATATATTTTTTTTTTTTAAAAAAAAGCAAAATGTTTCATTTAGTCATGAAATCAAATACTGTTTCCTTGAGATAAATGTTAAGTGCCAGTCTTCCAGTCTTATAACATTGTATTATTTTTAGGTGTGCAACATAATAATTTGATATATGTCTATTGCAAAATGAGTTCCACAGTAAGTTTAGTTAAAATCCATTACCACACATTTTTTTTCTCTTATGTTGAGATCTTTAAGATTTACTCTCAGCAACTTTCAAATATGCAATACAGTATTGTTAACTGTAGTCACCATGCTGTACATTACATGCCCAGGACTTATTTATCTTATAAGTGAAAGTTTTTACGTTTTGATCAATTTTACTCATTTTACCTCCACCGGCCCCCCGCATACCTCCACCTTTGGCAACCACCAATCTGTTCTCTGTATCTATGAGCTTGTTCTTTTGTTTTGTTTGTTTGTCCACACATGTAAGATTATGTATTTGTCCTTCTCTGCCTCACTGATTCCACTTAGCATAAAGGTCTATCCATGTTGTCACTAATGGCAGGATTTCCTTTCCATGGCTGAATAATATTCTATTTCATATATGTAGTATATATCACATTTTCTGTATCCATTCGTCTGTTGATGGACACTAGTTGTTTCCACATCTTGACTATTGTAAATAATGCTGCTGTGAACATGACGGGGTGCAGATATCTTTTCCAGATAGTGATTTCATTTCCTTCAGTAAATGCTGGGAAGTGGAATTGCTGGATCACCTATCTTCCAATCTTAATATTCAAGAAACTGAAACATTACTTACTAGCTTGTGTGCTACCAACCTGCTAACTGAAAAGTGGAAAACTGAAAAAGAGGGAGCCAACATTTATTGACCATCTTCTATCTACAACTCCTTGTGGCAGGGATTATTAGATTTATTTTTTTTAGGTGAGAAAACTGAAGCTCAAGAGGTATGTATCTTACCTAAGACCATGTGGTGAGACTGTGATCTTTTACTGAATGGGTCTATTTATTTACTTATTTATTTAAGCAGCCTTATTGTGACACTGTCAAACAGTTAACTGCACGTATTTATTTTATTTTATTTTTTGACTGTGCCGTGCAGCCTGTGGGATCTTAGA